CGGCATAACTGGGAATCCACCCGCTAAAGTTTGCTCTCCGTGGCTTGTCGGCTCCATCTCATTTCTCGAAACGTTTTCTCTAGTTGACAAAGTAGTAGTCTCATCAACCACAAGAACAGTTGGCTTTGCGGTTGTTCTTGTATGCATCCACTTCTCCATCGGGATAGCGGCCATCGGCCCAGGTACAGCTATCGCGTTCCCTTTCCACTTAGGGGATCTCTTTGGAGTGCTCTTTGGTGCCGCTGGATCCGCATCAACTGAGTCAGATTTATTGCTGCTGTGACTGTCCTCTGTTGCCTGTGGAACATCACTTATGCCAGCATTATTCAGATTACTGACTCCAGAAATTGGTGGAGCTGGAGGAGGTAATAAAAGTGCTTGGTGATCAGCATTGGTTGTGTGGGAGGGAGCTGGAATTAGCCACTGCACTTCCGCCACACGTGGAAGTTTTGCTTTGATCTCGGATTGAATATCATCAGCAAGTCGCCACACAAATATACAGCCATCACTGCTGGCAGACAGTAAGCGACGGCAGTCTGGTGTGAACTTCAGCGCCGTGATTGCTTCGCTATGTCCAGTACCTGTAGCTAACGTATCCCCACTCTTCATGTCGATAATATGGATAATTCTCTCGGCGAGAGAGCCGCTCATTGCAACGCAATAGTTAGCAGGGCAAACAGCAACATGGTGCTGCTCTCCTACCAGATGCGCCAGTTGTTGCTTCCCTGTACTGGCATTGAGTACTTCTAATTTATTGTTGCAACATGCCACAACGGTATCGCTATCAGGTAGCAGAACCGTACCAAATACTTTGCCCCCAGTTAATGTAACCACTTTGGACTCAATCATTTTCCCTTTCGCATCAACTCGAGAAGTCGAAACAACATTGTCTGCCCCACAACTCTGCAAGAGTTTTCCATCACGAGAAAGTGACACAGTCGTTACAGCAGCCGAATGGCTCTCCAACGTGCTAACTACAGCATGACCCCGTTGGCAATCGTACAATTGGATTAATCGGTCCTTCCCTCCAGAAGCCATGAAGATCGCACCATCGTCATTCAGACTGCTGTATGCGATACAGTTCACCATCGAACTGTGAGCTCCAATTCGAATGACAGGGTTTTCTAGAGGCACAGGCATTACGATCACATTTCCTTCTTGATCACCAGCAGCAATTTCTTTCTGGTCAGGACGAATGGCCACTGTTCTGAGTCCTTTGTTCAAGCCATTACCCTTTGGTGGCGAGTGTACACTTGAATTGAAATCGTGACAGCATGTCCCTCCTAGAACGACGCAGTGCGCATTTTCGAAGTCGTGCTCGTGATCGTTGTAAATTAATCGAAGCATTTCTTGGCTGTATGGATTTTTCCAGTGTCTGTGCTCTAACCGATCATTGCTGAACTTGATCCGACTTGCCTTTGCTGGTCGTCGATGCAACTCCAAATTCCACAGACGAACAGTATCATCATCTGAACATGTCACAAACGTTCCGGTTGGTATGGTGTTGGCGGACACCTCCCCAGCTGAACCACTATCGTTATATACTAGTTTTCCCTTTGCATTGACGCCACGCACATGACCAGCGACTTGCAAGTCTCGGATTCCTCCACTATGATACAAAAACGAGAGTTCAAGAGTAACAGCATCGAGATTAGTTGTACCGAATATGAAAATGCTCCGATCGCTGTAAAACACAATCACGTGGGAGCCAGTGATACGGGTCGCAATCACTGCCGGGTACCGAAATGGCTCAGCTGGGTACAGGATACTTGGTGACGCTGGGATAACGTTGGATGGCTCATTGGCGGCGCCGAAAGCTGGAGGAAAGGGAAGTGTAGTACGGTACTCTAGAGTCGAAGGATTGAACATCCTTACAACTCCACTTGATCCACCCACAGCCACATACGCTTCCGTAACGGAGATAGCATTTCCACAATTCGACTCCAATGACACCAGTCGCTCCATGATACCAGAGGCACCAAAGCAACATAGCGTTCCGTCCAAGGTTACCGCAAATGTCTTCAATTCGCAACTTCCGTGCCCACATCCCACTCCTGTGAACGTCGCCGACGTCTTTGCGTTCACCACAGCATCTCGATGCTGCAGCTCAGGCAGATCGTTCACACGAAGACCCGTGCTTAGAAACGAGCCGTTCTCACCCAAGAACCAATACTACACACCATCAAATCCATAGATCAAACTACAATACAACCTCATATTCACAATAACCAGTCTCACCTTGAAGTGTTTCTCTCCAACAGTCACGAAAAATTTGCCCGCTTGGCAGTAGTCTGCATCAAGGATCTTGTCTTCCACGAAGGCACAGCCCACTGCAGCGACCTCAAGCCGCCGTACTGCATCCTTCATTTTAAGCTTAAGCTCCCATGCGTAGAGATGCTGGTCGTGCACAAGCCCTGCAGACAATAGGAAGCGTCCATCCTGACTGAAGGTCATGCAGGCCACGCCGTACTGATGGCGCTGCAACTCAGCACAGAGTGTGCCATCCGTGCCGTCCCAGATAGTGATAGCCGGCAGATACCCGTTCTCTCCGATGGCAAGGAACTGACCGTTGGGCGAAAAGCACAGACACGAGACGCTCTTGTCTACGCGGTAATAACGCACCTGCTTGTTGCGTCGCAGGTTGTAGATCACCACAATGCAACCCGCAGCGTACGCCAGCTCACCAGAAGCCGGATTAACAGCCACCTGTGCATTGCTCAGCGCTGTGAGCCCCAGCACACGCTCTAAGATGAGACGCGAGCGCGGAGGCGGCAGCACGGCGTCGGTCATTGCGGACACTTGAAGTGAAGGTCAGATCAGCGACGTTTCGCAGTTCTCGGTTTGTGATTGGTTGAAATGCACCGTGTCACTTCAACGAGGGGCAACGTCACTAACTGCCCATCTCGAAAAAACGACACCGGCAATAATCAGCAGTGCGGACCGACGTGATGCTGCCTCTGTACAAGCGCGCCATGCGCCACGCGTGGGTGCCGTACCGCCGGTTGCGCAGTGGCACAGTAGTTGGAGGCGTGGTGGCACTGTTGCTGCTGTTCATACTGTTCTCTTCGTTGTCTCCGGAGGCTCCAACGCCGTCTCCTGTCGCGAGACCGACTGAGGTTGTCCAGCCGCAAACTGTGGACATCCCGACGACGGTGGAGGCGGGCGGAGGCATCGGTATGGATGAAAACGTGGAAGCGGATGGAGGTTTTGACACGAATGCGGAAGTAGCAGCGGGCGGTGGCGTCGACATGGATGCGGAGGTAGAAGCAGATGAAGTGAAGGAAGCAGAGGAGCCTTCAGCCGCACCGGAGAACGCGACACAGGTGCCATTCGTGTTGCGGCTACTGCTACCACTGATCGCAGGTTTCTGCTTTGGCTTCTTGGGCTCCGTGCCTATCGCTGGCCCCACGTCCGCTATGGTGCTTAAACTTGGCATCCAGGGGAAGTATACCGCAGGACTGACCATTGCAGTCGGCGGAGCCATCTCAGAAGCGGTAAGACATAAGTTGCTGTAATGTCTGGCTGCTGGTGACTAACTTTACTTTGTTTTATCTTGGTAGACGTATGCGGGTATTGCATTCTGGGGCTTTGGTAGCTTCCTAGCAGGTGCCAAGTTTTTGCTGCCGGTTTCAAAGTACGTGGATGAAGGGGTAGCAGTTGTAATGACCGTGTCTAACAGAACTGTGCTTTGTTGTGGCAGAGTCCTTGGAGCAATCATGTTCACGCTTATCGGCCTGGTGTTCCTCAAGGCGGACATGAAGCCGTCATTGGACCCTGACGTCGAAGCCTCTCATGGGAAGGGGGTGCGACGACCACAGGGTGAAGTGCTCAAGAACATCCTTATGGGCCTCACAATGTCCGGGATTAATCCGGCTCTGCTGGCGTCCTACACTGGCGCCATTGCTTCAGGTAAACGCGCTCCTCATATGAGTACACTGACGTGGATGAATGGTCGTTAATATTTTGTGTGGTTTTGGCTTTAAAGTGTACGGCACCGGAATGCTCGAATTCACCTTGTTCCTGGCCGTTGTGTTTGCAATTGGTGTCTGCTGCGGTGTTTCAACGTGGTTTTACTTGCTGCTTTCTCTGCTGAAGAAATACAAACAGGTTTGTGCTGCTCATTGCTGTTGATATGCTGCAATTCTCTGAGCATACGCTAACCTCTTCCGTTGCCTGAATAGCGTCTGAAAAGCCACACCATCGATTTGATTATGCGCGGTCTAGGCTGCTTCCTGCTGACACTAGGCCTGCTGTGTGCAAAATCATCGCTCGACTATTTCTTGTTGGCATCACCAGAGGCCAAGTAGTGGAGCACCATCACTCTTGGGCTTCAAATACTAGCAGGCAACAGATTGATTCATGGAAAACATAATTTACTGTGTCTTGTACGAAAGAGAGAATTTTAAGCAAAAGGTCTCCTAAGTCTCCTAGCCTAGTCGGAATTTTTCCTTTAGACTCGGCAACATTTCCAGGTCTTGCTCAGATAAATCGTCTGCGGTTTCCACCAGATTGAAAAGCTCGTGCACCTTTTCCATTTGGTGGTCCTCAAAGAAGTCCAGAATGAGTGACAAGCGAGTCGTTTGAGATAGCGCCTCCATTACGGCTAGAGCAAACGTTGGTGGAGCTGGATCCTCTGGGTTTATATCAGCTGGTTTTTGAGTCCACGAGGCTACTAGTACTTCGACGATATCCGCCATCAAATCTGAATCGATATCTGGCTTGAACATATCAGCAAGTCGTTCGGGTGTCGTAAGTTGCAGATATCTGAGCACATAAAGTTAAAACCTGACTAATTACGCACAATTGGAAGTGGGTTCCTACCTGAATTTTGCGTCGGTAGTCTTGAGGTATCGTTTCCAGTTGCGGCAAAAATCGACTGCAGTTGCAGGTGGAACATCTAGCGCCGGGGCTGCAGGCTGGGAACGACGGTCATTCCCCGATTTCTTCTGAGTGGGTTTCTTTTTATACGAGATGTTGGTCTGCCTCTCGGTCCTAGAGAAATCACGCAGTTCCTTTTGCGATATCGGCTTCAGATCTGCACACGCCACGAGATTCTATCAAAAAAGTATGATGAGCACATACCGCATTGCAAGAAATATGAGTCACAGCAACTACAGTACCTTGAAGTCATCATAGTTGGCTGCAGTGTGGATGGCGCGTTTCTTCATACTATCCGTGAGTTTGTAAAGACGGTCATCTTCTAGAGCTTGAGCCAATTCCTGCTGCAAAGCTGCCGTATCGAAGGCCCCATGCTCTATGGACGTGAGTTGATCCGCAGTCTTCTTCACCATTTTGGTGACCCTCAACAAATTTGTGACGCTTCGCAGCCCAAAAAAGTATCTTCGTGTGTACCACGTTGATATCAGAAATGGAAAAATGGATACATTTGTGCGCACGAAAGGACGCATAAGAGTGTCTTATGACAAGCTAATCCTAGTCAACCGAGGTTACCAGTGCTACCAGCAGATTTCGTTGGAGTAAAAATAACGAGGGCTTTAAATAAGCACAAGCGCATCGAGATCTCCAATGTTCGCCACATTCACATTAACGCGCAGAACGAGAGCTGCTCGACTCGCTCTTCTACTTCAAGTATATTCTAACCGATTTCAGCAATGGACCGTGGACGCAAAGCTATCCCAACCCTGAACAAGCACACGGACTCCAAGTACTACCAACGATGCCAGGAGATCCACCGGTCCAAGCTCTTCACCATCAAGAGTTCAATCGACAATAGCGAACCACACCGCCCAACCCACTTGCGCAAGAATATGAAGAAGGAGCAGATGAGAGAGGAGCGCTACGCTGAGATCGAGCGCGAGAACCGCATCTTACTGGAGAAGATGTCGACTATCATGCAAGGAGAGACGCTCGACAACAAAAACCAGTCTATTGCGTACTCTCACAGTCTCAACAAGGGGCAGCGCAAGCGTGAATTACAGAGGATCACGTCTGAAAATCAAGCCATTCTACGTCGCATCCAGATGCGGGAACCCACGTACGATCACTTGCAGTGGGAAGAAGACGCCAAGAGAAATGAGCGATACGCTGCTAACATCCGCGAGTTTCCGCTGAGCGATAATCAGGAGCAGCTTGCAGAAATGCGGACCATGTCTGCATACTCGATGGGTGGAACAGGCAAGGACTACTACTAGGCAGTACCCAGCGATCCCACTTCAATTAATATATCAAAACTATCACCTTTCGTTGCCATGTTACATTACAACAGCTCCACAACGACCCGCAAGATTGCCGATATTTGGCACGTTGCCTTGCTTTCTCCAAATACAGTCAATAGCTTGTCTCCCCAGAGCTCCATCGCCTCGAATTCGCTCTCAATTTCAGCAAGCTGAGTCCGCGTATCCGCGAGAAAGCGCTGTAGAATGTCTCGAGCTTTGCTGTCACGTTCTTCGGATTGAGCCGAACGCGAAGATGGACTTCTGTTGACGAAGGATTGGATAGGTCGCATGCCAGCCACCAAGCGATTTAACTGCAGTTGTAACTCGACAAGTTCCACGCACATAGCCTTTTCGAGATCACCTCGAAATGACTTCAACTTCTCGTCCACTTCAGAAAGGTATCCCGATATGAACATAGCTTTGTTGTCCTCAAATACTGCGAACGAGGTAGCCTTTTGCTTCTTGAAGAACTGATTGCGTCGAAACCAAGAATCGATTAGTAGTCCACTGCAGTCATGTCTTTAGACAGCAACGTACCTGTTCCAACGCCTCAATAAACGAATAGTTCTCTACCAAATCTCGGCAACCCCGTTTCACGACAAGAATTCGCGACAATAAGGCTGAACGTGTGCGACCAAACTCCATCTTGTACAGGAACATGTCGATACGTTCCTGCATTCCTGGAACTTGAAACAGCAGACAGAAGAAGCGCTCTGCTTTGCCCAGAGTACTTACTGAGCCGTTAAAGTTTTGAAGTGCTTGCTTCTCCTTTACGGTTGGAAAGAATCGTTGGAGACATCCCAGCAAAGCTGGATTAACCACACGCTCGTCCATTGTTACGATGTCATTCACAATCTGCTCGTAGTGATCGTGGATTTTGAAGCTTGCGAGCGCGAGCGCAAGATTGTTAGCACGCTTTAGCTCGATCAGCTGAATGTTCTTGGATCGACCACGAGGCGAGGAAGCACGAGACTGTATCAAAGCGCATTAACACTATAATTCATTGGTGCACGTAAGCTGCACCACGACATACCTTCTCAAATGAACCGCTGGCTACATCTTCATCAGCATTTTCTAAAAATTTCTTGACAGGACTCTTAGAACGAGGTGATGGCACGAAGACAGGTCGAGTAACTTTTTCACAAACAGTAAGTTTGATGATCATGCGTCAAAAGAAAAAGAGCGACATTATTCACGTACCATTTTGAGCTGGAGGTGCAGCTATGTCGACCGAAAGCTTCAGGCCTGTTCGATCCTCGTACTTTGACGGCTCGGAAAATGTATCTGATTGCATGACACATGTCGGTACTACCTGCACTTCTCGGGATGGTAATTCAGGGTTTGATGCATAGAGTTCCGAAGCTAGCCTTTGATTGTTTGTTGGCTGGCTTGTTAACGTAGGTGTTGAGCAGGAAGTTGCTGGCGAGCTGACAGGTGACACTAGTGCTGTTTGCGATTTCTGCTTTCGAACTTCCGCCAAACGTAGCCGAATAATCGCGTCTGGAGAAAGAGTATCTTGATGTCTAGAATCAGGATGCATTTCTTGAGCCACGGAGATTCTGTTCGCGTTTTCTTCGACAGGTTTCTCCCATTGCGATACACCGGTAGTTTTATTCACATAGTACGGGTAGCCATCTTCCGTGTAATGTGTGTCCCATTGTGACTCCGTTTGAACGTGCGGAACATGCTGAGAATACAAATTAGTGTTTACCTGGCTGTACTGATTCCATGTTGATCGTGATGTAGCTGGAGGGGCACTACTTATCGGTCTAGCTTCAGACCAACGGGTTTGCAATGATTGCGTATTTTCTGGGGCAGCTTGTCTCTGAGTGTGCATGCCATAATGATGTGAATAGCCACTTCCTTGATGATAATGATCCCATGACTGACTGGAACAATAACGCGGGTCATTTTCTCTGGTTGCATACTGATGGTACGGCCGAATATGATCGCGGTCAAGTCGTTCCGTTGCAACAAGTCGTTCGTTGAACGGAGAATACGCAGGTAGTTCCCTGGCAGAATAATGTGAAGTACCAGCCCACTCTGGTGTGTATCCTCTTGGTGAAAGCGAGTGTGCACGCTGTTTTCTCGTCAATGCATCCCGAATCTGCTCAGTCGGAGATAGTGGCAATCGACTTGTAGCACTTCCACTCATCACATAGCTCGACGATCGGTGCCGTTCTGAATGAGTACCGTAGTTGTCTTCTTCATAGTCTATCGTCTTGTTTTGTACCGTAGGTTTCCACACTTCAGTGTGGACGAATGCTGATGGAATTTCCTTATCGAATTCATCTTCAACTACTTTACCATTATTTCGAAAGATGATTGCTGGGCGGTCCTGTATTGACCGTCCGAGCAACGTTGACGCGGGTTCGTTGCGGCTAGCAGAGGCATTGGCCTCCTTTTCATTCGTCAAATAATAGGCTGAAATGAGTTCGGCGCACTTCTGCTGTTTTTCACGGACTGTTATGTCGTAGGCAGTCTCCTTATGCATATTAGTCGCGAAGACGTTCGCTGCGCTCTCTAGCAGCAATTTCACGATGTCTTCGTTTCCCGATAGCGCTGCATAATGAAGTGCTGTGTCACCGTCGTGATCTCCTGAGTTAAGCACCGAGTCCCCACCAACATCCAACAAATATGCCACGCAATCGAGATTTCCATTCGCTACTGCACAATGTAGTGGTGTACGCCCAAACTCCTCCACGACACAAATATCAGCGCCGTGGTGAAGAAGTAGTTGCAAACACGCCAAGTCACCATGGCGTGCAGCTACGTGTAGTGGTGCATCATTGTTGGGGTCGATATGGTTAACAATCTCCGTGTCCATGTCACTCTTTGCAGCAGTTGAAAGTAGCAATCCAACGCAGTGTGCGTGAGAACAATTAACTGCAACTTGCAATGCAGTCTCACCAAATTCTGGATGAGGGTCATTCTTTGCTCTTCGTGAAAGGCACAGCTCAACAAGCTCAGCATTTCCGAGTCGACACGCTAGCATCAACAACGTATCACCTGATCCACCTTCCAGTAAGTCGATAGGACATCCATCTTCTAAGCACTCCAGAATATCACCGAGCCTGTCGTTGCGAGCAAGATTGAAAATCCGATTCCTCCACGCTGCTATCATGCGCTTAGTTGGAGCAGATGCAGTTGGCTTCCCACTCGTGTTACCGTCATCTCCTCGTGATGATAGCGCAGACTGTTTAAAGCTTTCAATCATACGCGCTGACAGCAAACTAGAATCCATCAATGGCTCTGATGCGAATAACAGTTCGCGAAGACTATTTATCCAAATCTGAGCTTCCTCCTTGCTGGCGGCCACCAAGTCCAACGTCCTCGCTCGCATCACTAATGAGAAGCACTTTTCCGTCTCTTTAACCACGTTGCTCTCGGTTTGTGCTGCGAACGCAGCGGTTGTGTGGCCCTCACGAATCTCTGTCACCAGCGCTAAATCAAGTGAACGCAAATTCTTCTTCTCGGCGGACCCTGAAAGCGTCGGATCTCCCCATGTTATCTGCAAGTGTGGTGGATCGGTCGCTCTTCTCACAGCAACCCATTGTCGACGCGGCCCAGTGGAGCGGCCTACCATGTTATGTGTGTGATAGGGGACTTTGAAGAACAGACCACCATTCAACAGAACCGCCGGGATTGACTTTGCGCTGATAGGACGTTTGATAGTTGACTGCGTAGTTTGTGGTTTTGAGAAGCCCGGCAATTGCAAAGGGGGAACCACTGTTGTAGGTGTTATCACCGCGTCCACAATCTTCAGTTGGAGGTGCACTTGTCCGGCAGATAGAAGTACTGGTTCATTGCCATTGTCACTACTTTCATCATTCCGGAATAAAGGATAATGTTGATCATAGAATAAATCCCCCACTTTGTCCAAGGAAACGTTGGCTTCACCCACGAGAATCTTGCTACTGGTTTTCACTTCTACGTGAAGAAATTGCGTCTCCTTTGAGCGCAACGTTGTAGTAAACTGTTGATTCCATTGCGCCTCGCTGCCGCCCTTCTTGTGTAACTCCGTCCGCATCAAATACGACGACCAAGTACCTGGAGAATCACTATCGTGCACATTAGAGCTATCGAACAACCTCATCTCGAGTAAGCATGATTGCGTTCCGAACTTTTCTGCTTTGGGTAGCCCCGTTGCTCCAAGCGCATTAATAATCAATAGCAATCGATCTCGACCGGTATTTGCTTGCTCAGTAGCTGGGATCTCCAGCAAAACGGGGCTTGCCTTCGCGACAGGAACCCCAGAAGATTTAGTCATCCCGGGAGCTACAAAAGCGCCATGATTTGGCAACCTTCGCTGTGCACTACTGCTAATTATCGGGTTAAGTGTTGCGAATCCAGAGTCACTATCTCCAGAATGAATAACCACTTCGGATGGGCCTCCCATTGCAGCGTCTTCTGCGTTAAGACTTCGGTGTTCACGACTCGCTCGAGCTCCGTGGAGAGTCTTGGCGGAACGATCGATAGATACTTCAATGTCACCTTCCTCTTCGAGCATCAATTCTACGCTTCCAACATCTTTTTCCTCGCTAGGTTTCGATGAGAGGCTCGCAGCTTCGGCTTCCTCACCAGTGATAATCCCCGTGATGTCGCTATGAGCGTATTTTTGCTTGGAAGGCGCCATTGAACTTCCTCCTGTCAATCGGCTTAGAAGTCCCTTACGCTGAGGTTTGTATATGGACTTCTTGACGATCTGGTAATTTCCTGCGTCGTCTTCGTCGTCCATATCGTCTGTCGAGAGCGCATGGAAGCGAGACTCGATTCCAAGCTCAGCCATCTCTTTAGATTTAATATCTCCACGTTTTTTTCTTTCGTCACCGCTCGTGTCTCCCCAATCCGATGCATCGCTCTCCTCCTCTCGCTTCTGCGTCTTTTTCCGTGAATACTTGGTGCTGCTCTCATCTTCCGCTTCACTGACACTCGCATCGGCCTTAGGGCTCAGGTCGTCAAACCTGGGTCCGTCTTCACTCTCTTTCATCATGTTGGTCGATTATGGGATTAAATGAGTCCTTCCTTACACGGCACAAACGGCTAAGGACGCCGGCGCGGTCCCAGGTTCTGTCTCGCTTCGTCGTTCACTACTAGTACAACGCAAATAGATGCCCTCCTTTTGGCTGCTTCTCGCCAAGCCGCATCGCACTAACGGCTTCTGTCCCCACGCAACCGCCGGAAGTTGAAGTGACCTGCACTCTGATAAAATCGTACTTAGCATCGTCGTCTTCCGTCCTACACGTGCCAGCCCAGTATGGGCCTGACTGATTTCTTTCTCTCTCTTTGCGCCGAAGCAAGCAATAGACAAAAGCTGTAGGGTGTAATGGTAGGAACAAACGGCAAGGTATTCATTGAAACTCCCTCCCTCGATGTGCGGAATATATCTTTTGTCTATGTAAAACAACCTCGCCATTTCCTCCTGGGTTGGTGTTGATCTTGAGCTCACAACTTTATCGGTCGATCCTTCACGAGCAACTAGGTCAAGCTAAGCTTCTTACATCATCAGCTTCTTGAACTCATCGTACAGCACCAGCACGATAGCACCGCCCGTGCCACGCAGGATGTTGGAGCCAGCACCCTTGAAGAAGGCGCCCGAGCCCTCGTTCTTGGCGATCTTCATGGCGCAGTCAAGCGTGGACGTGTACAGAATGTCCTTGCGGCCAGCCTGCATCATCATACGACGACGCACGGTGTCGAAGGGGTACGAGATCATACCAGCCAGCGAGGTAACAGTCTGGGCGACCAGCCACTTCTGCCACACGGGGGCGTTCTTGGGGTCACGCAGAGCAATGTCACGCAGGGTGTCGTAACCACCGAAGAAGGCGGCACGGTACACGATGATACCGCCAACCGACACACCGAAGCCCTGGTACAGGCCGCCCAGACCGTCCGACTTGTAGATCGTGGACACGCAGTTCACCAGACCAGTGTACATACGCGACTTGCCCTTGCCGACATCAGCACCAAGACGGGTACGGGCAAAGTCAAGCGGGTACACGAAGAGAAGCGAGGTGGCACCGGCGGCACCACCCGAGGCAAGGTTGCCCATGAAGAAACGCCAGAACTGCTCCTTGGTCACACCGTCCATGAACAGCTTCTTGAACTTATCCTTGAAGGCGAAGTTCAGGGCCTGCGTCGGGAAGTAACGGATGACGTTGGCCAGGTTACCGCGCCAGAGCGAGGTCACGCCCTGCTCCTTGGACACACGGACGAAACAGTCCACGATGCCCTTGTACTGGTCCTCAGGCTTGATCTGCGACGAGGCGGCCTGCACCTGCAGAAGCAGCTTGACACGCTCAATGGGGGCCACGACGGTCTTGGAGATACCGCCGGCCACACCACCGGCAGCCAGGTCCATAAGGAACGACACGGCGCCGCTCTTCTTCTCCGAAGTAGCGACGGGCTTGTACTGGGTCAGAGCGCTCATCTTGACTGAAGGGGGGGAGGCTTTAAAAGTCTTCTACGCTGGCGCTTGGGCGAAACGGAGAAAAATCCTAAATGATCGAAAGGACTCTATGGGGGGCGGCGAAAGTGTGCGGCTATGGGAGCCACACACTGTGTTTGACGTTGGATACTCCCCAAATCCGCCAATAGCAGCGTCCAGATGGCGGCGTAGCACGTGCCTATTGGACGAAAAATGGCAGTTTCGAACGAGTGGTTCGCACTTCGTGTCAGAGATGAAGTTCCACGCAGGCTGGATGGAAGGTGTATTGGATGTTGCAGGTTGTTTCCCTACCAAATTATTGTTTTTAGTCAAACCCTTGACAAATAAAGGTTTAGAGGTAAATTCACTCTAATTTTGGGTTGTGTGTAGCTGTTACATTTCTGACTTGGAGCTATGTTTGGCAGGACAAGAGATGTTGCGTCCGACACGAACTCGGCTCAGACTCGCATAAGACGTCCGTTTCCGAGGATTCCGATGCGTATTTGCGGAGTCCTAAGTCGGCATTGCTGACGGCAGACGTCTAGTTTACTCAACACCTTCGGGTAAATTGACGCCGACTCCGTCGGCACAGATTCTGAGGTCCGGAGCTTGTTGTCAGCTCGCGTTTGACCCGCGCACAGATTGGACTGGTATGAAATATAGCAGGTATTTCCAATACTTTTTCTTTGACACTTGATCAGATCAAGTCAGTGCTTGCGCTTCAGCCGTTTGCCACGCGGGACGCATCACCGCACTGACGTGTTCACGGTGCTTGGTCTCCGCCTCAAGTACGTGGGCAGCTTGCCACCACTCGTCCCGCCCAGCCCGCGAGCGCGATTGCGGCAGGCCCAAAGTGCTGGGCAGCACGGGGATGATAGATGCACGTGCTGCTGGATTCACCCGTCGCAAGACCTCTGCCGGCCTCGCTGTATTCACCATTTCTCGGCATCGCAACGTGGGTGGTATGTTCACTCGAGGTGCAGTACTAAGCTGCTCTCTCCGCTGCGCTGTGACCCCCATAACGGATCTTACCGCGACATCTTTGGGTTGTAACAAGCTGCTGCGCGACTCTGAACAGACGGTAAAAACCTGTGACGGAGCAGCGCACTTTTGCAAACCGAGGCGCCCATGGAAGTATCTTCGTCCACGTGCTGTGCAATCCCAAGTACGTGGCAACTCGATCCGTTTAACAACTAGTCGCAGACAAGGCCCAGCACCACTTCAAGTCTATGCAGATGATCCGCATCAAGTCTCGACACTTGATCAACTTTGACATCGTCTTCAACTTCGTCCGCACCTTTATTTCGCCGGGGCATGGCCAATATGATCATTTGTAGCATCCACCCGCCAAGTTACACGTTTACAACCTCCGACATGTCAACACCCTTGGCCGCCGGCGATGCTCAAGCATGCGGTGGAGCTGTGGATCGCAAGTATGTTGGTTGTGGTGGCCCACGCCAGCGTTACAACGATACCGACGATCGTCAATCTCCCGGCAAGACGGCTCGAGCCTCCGAGGCGCTTCAAGTCCTGCGCTTGCTGTTTTTGATCGGGTAGCAGCACCAAAGTCACTAGCCCCAGCAGTTGCACGCCTCCTGCGATCAAGAGGCAATACGCAACTTGCCAACGCACGTGCAGCGTGTCCGATGCGATGGCCGTGTCGGACACGTCGAAATACGCGTCCACGATATTGGTCACGCTCTGTGCGAAGGGCCAAGCCAAGTTATGCACGGTAGTCAGCAGCGCGTACGTCGCGCCTTCGAATCCCGGTTCTGCAATTTCCACCGTCACGAAGCCTGCTACGACGCTGCGCATGCCCTCCGGGATGGCAGCGAACTGCGGTCCCCCAAGGTAGAACCATTGACTCCGTACGATGTTGAAAGTTGTCACCAAATTCACCCCGATGAAGACGATAGTGGTGAACAACGAGCATGTGAGCATGATCCAGCGCCAGCTAGCATTGAGGTAGTACTCTCGCATCAAGAATGTTGCAAAAACGACCAGCGCGGTGGAGACACAGCCAGCCAAACTGCTGTTGAGCGGTGTGACGCCCACCCAGAACTCCTGTATCGCAGAGAGGTCCGAAAAGCTGACGGATGTGAGGAAGGAATGCCAGAAATGGAAGGCTACAAGCTGCCAGATTGCGCGTTGCTGCAGAATTCGCCACATTTCGTGCATCGGCGTGGTTTGAATTGGTTTGCTTTTGCTTGTATCGCTTGATCCGGCGCGTGTTTCGTCCAAGAAGAGTATTGTACTGCAGCAGCCAAGCAGAGCCACCGCTGCGCAGCCCCAAAAGACGCTGTTCGGTGCCACGCTCCAGGAGAACGTCCCGCCATACACTTTTCCGTTAAAGCAGAGCGCCGCTACGAGGCCTGCCGCCAAGCTGGCGCTGTAGCGTACCATGTAGATCGTTGTTTGGGCTCGACCACGTACTTCGATCGGCTCAAGCTGGGCCATCTCCACCATTACACCGTCGCACGCTACGTCGGTCATGACGTATCCAGCACAAACAACAAGCAAAAGGAGGAGATATTGCCCTCCAGAAGCTGCAGCGTCCTCGTTCTCTATGACGCGCAAGTTTATTTCGCGAGTGCGTTGGATCTCGCCGGCTTTGTAGTATGGCGCTTCGATTGGGTTGTATGCTAGTACTACGAGCGCCACAATGCTGATGGCCCAGCCGATCAACATGTATGGCTTACGTCGATATCCAGAGATTGGCAAGTGGTCGGATAGCAATCCGAAGAGCGTTTTGTATGACCACGGCAACCTCACCACCGTCGCAGCTGCTGAGACCTGGAAGCCGTCCATATTGAGATAGAGCTTGAAGAATGGATATACCAGTGCTGGTAATAACCCGTTCAGGAATCCGATGCACGCGTAGTTTACAAGCAAGCCGAAGCGAGACGCGTCTAGCAGATCCACGATGCTGTCATCGCTGTATGGCTCCGACCAGCGTCTCGCCAGCGCCTTGCGACTCTTTCGTTGCTCGTCATCGCTCGGTTTTCGATCCACACCCTGCTTCTGGTATCCTCCTGCTTCCAGCATCGATGTTGGCACGAACGAGGCTGGCACTGCGATGGTTGACCCAATCAAAGAAGGACCACAGCCGGCGAGCAACGCGTTGGCCTCGTCATCGCCTCGCGACCTGGTCGACATTCCCTCGCATCAAGTTGTGGACCACGGCGGCCCTGAAAAGGCCTAGGCTGCTGCGAGGCGTCGGGTATCCTAGCTTCTCCGCCGCACATTAGCTCTTCGTGTCGCTTCGAGCGTAAGGCTAGATCAAATCCAGTTGAAGTTTCTGTAGCCATTTCTATGTTGTTTCTTTGGGAATAGAAATGCTTTTTTCATTTGCGGACAACCTACCAGAGCACTTGAAAAAATGCTGCACTCGCTGTACATTATCAACAAGGCTGGGGGGCTCATTTACCAGCAGGACCTGAGCCCCGCGGCGCCCAAGCTGAGCTCCAACGACCACCTTCGTCTGGGCTCCACCTTCCACAGCATGCACGCCATCGCGGCGTTGGCGGCACCCACGAATTCGGGCGGCATCGACAGTCTGGAGACGGGCACCTTCCGCTTGCAGTGTCTGCAGACACCTACAGGCATCAAGTTCTTCATCACGGCCGCGCTGGGCACGCAGGACCTAGATGTGGCGCTGCAGACGGTATACGAGCTATACGTCGACTACGTGCTCAAGGTTTGTGTACTACCGTAGTTTTTTGGGGACCCAACTAACGCTCAATGCTGCGCTGTCAGAATCCATTCTACGAGCTTGAGATGCCGATCCGCTGCAGCCTCTTCAATACTGGGCTCAAGACTTTTGTGGATAGGTTCAACCTCGATAGCGGTCGACGTCGTCCGCAGAGCAGCAGCGGCACTGACGTCTTCTACTGATCACAACGATAAGAGGAGGTAAAAGATGTGGGTACGGATTTTTCTCGAGTAATTGACGGACTAGCCGAGCGCCGCCGCTATGCTGTGGTAATTAATGGTTGGTCGACCTTGTTAAGGTCTTCCCGCCTCCGCTACAGGATTATATCATTTTTAAACCCGTTTATTGAAACTAGTTTTGTCAATCTAAAACAATTATGTATTAAATATATAAAATATTTGTTAAATATTGACAAAAGGTAGATTTAATAATAATAATAATCTTATTTTAAAATGATTGCTTCATTCTCGTTAATTAGAGGTACATGTACAAAATCGACTACAAAATACTGATTGCTTTAAAACAATCCCTATACTCCCAGGTTAACCTGTGCTATCCATAGGCATAGTGGATTGTACATCAAAGCTCTCATTGAGAAGTTCTGTGTATAACCATCCCAAAACCGTAATTCTGTCTAAAATATGTTCATTTTAAGTTATAAATATTCAGTAATGGTTGAATATGTAAGTGGTAGTCTGCATGCCCTACCACAAAGAACACACGCTTCATTGTTCTACCCTCAACTTTATCGACCTGGCAATCAGGAGTATTTTCTGCACACCTCTTAGTATTTTTAGAACAACGCACCAAATGCTATTTACTTTTGTGTCGTTAAAAAGTTGATGGCGTAGAACTGCTTCCAATTTGCTATGTTAAACGGAGCTCCCATGCGCGTATTCAGCAAAATAACACCAGTTTACCTAATACTACATGTGTATGTCTCAATTAGTCTGCCTCAGGCTAAATGGTCACATTTATGGTGAGTTTGAGTGATTTTTGCCGACTAGAGATGAATAAATCCAATTTTCAATCATGACTATCTTGAACGAGCATAATCATAATCACGCCAGAGGCGATGCTTAGTGTTGTGATGTACTGGTCCTCACGGTTGATGCCGACCCGACTAAAAGGCTTTGTTGTTGAGGGTGTGTCACTGAGGCAGTTGGAAAAGGTGAGGAAAGTAGTGAGAAAACATGATGATGTAAATTGAGCTAGACGAAGAAAGAGAGAGAGAATGCTAGAGCTCACTTCGGAAAATACAAACAGCAGCACAAGCTGCCTTTCCCACCAACTTCGAGTGCTCTACGTTTCTTGCTGCAGGTGCAGACGCTTGCTTACTAGTGCAGTTTACAAGTGGTTATGAGCCCAACGGGTCACTTGTAACAAGAAAGATGAGCACCACAAACAACACCAAGAAGGGCGGATCGGATGACAAGAAGAAGGCACACCCATCTTTTGATGGCCAGGACTTCGAAGTGTGGCTGTAGCGAATGACTTTGAAGCTCCAACGCAAAGGCCTGTGGAGCTACTGCGAAAAAGAGCCCACGGAACCAAGTTTCACTGAAAAGTTTTCGCAAGGTGCTCGAATTACAATTTTCAGCGCAGTAGTAGTACATCAGGATTCTGATACGAGATCCTCCCACTACCAAGAGCGAAGGCTTTTCCCTGCTCTGTAAACCAGCCTGGGGCAGTACACCCTTTCTTAGTGACCTCGGTGCACTGTCTTACGACAATACCCCAATGTAGACTCCTGGTTTGAGATGGACGCATCATCCACATCCTGGGGATAGTAATTCAGCAGCGCATACCACAATCCTGATGACGAGTCGAAAGGAGAGGAGACGGATGATCATGCTAAGTACATGAAGGAGAGTAGGAGAGCAAAAGAGATCCTGTACGATGGTATGACTGACAAGATAATGAAGACAGTCAAGTACGAGGCAACCCCGTACAGAGTGATGGAACATTTGAAAAACGGTACATCGGAAAGACTTACTTTAAGTATGCTGCGGAAATGACAAAGTTGAGGAAGCTGCAGTTGGACGCCAAGGGTAATATGTCGGACCATCTCGGCGAGATCCGACGCCTGATGGATAGGATCGGGCTGCTTGGGAAGCCACTGGACGACTACGAGAAGCCGGCTCTACTCATTGGCTCGCTTCCCAGTGACTACGACAATGTGGTGGAGACGTTCTTGGCCTCTCACGTGC